GGGCAGCCCCCGGGGCCACCTCTGCTAGCCAAGGGCAGCGCAGCCCCCCCAGCACCGAGGGCAGCGCAGCCCCCGCAGCACCGAGCGCCTCACAGGAGCTCAGAGCAGAACCTCCAGCCACACACAGCGCCGGCAGGAGCCAGGGGGTATTTAGACTTTTATTTTATCCTTCGTGTATTTTGGCATGTAAAGGGCACACAAGGAGGGGGCGCAGCTCATGGCCCATGTTGCTTCCTGCACTGCTCCCTTTCCAGGGAGGAGGGGCATGAGGAGTCCCCCACGATACACAAGCCACACACACACTAGCCCCCCCTCCTCTCCTAGCCAGCAAGGAGGTGGCATCATCCACGAAGCAGCAAAGCACGAGGGCTGCGTGTCATGAGGTGGCGGGGACAGTGAGGACATTTCCTACAGAAACAGATACTCCCTCCCCCTCCCACCCCCAGGCCCCTTTCGCTCATGTCTGTGGGGACCCCAGCCCCAGTCTGTCAGTCAAAGAACTCGGCCTCCCCCGTGCAGGTGGCACATACCAAGAGGCCATTAAAGGAAGCGCAGGTGAAGAGCACCAGGGCAGAGAAGGACCCTGCTCTTACCCCCGCTGCCCCCCCCCCCATCCCCCCATGCCTTCAGCCCGCTCTCCCCCTCCACACGCAGCAAGAGGGGGTCTAGCTGGGGATCCGCTGATAGAAGTAGATGTAGCCCAGGTCCTTGGGGGGCTTCTCAGAAGCACAGACTTTCTGGTCGTTGTAGATCACCCACCTGCAACAGGCACAAGGGGAGGGAGCTCAGGGATGCTGTTCTAGTGCAGTATTGCTACTTGATTGCCCTTGCCCCCATCCTCCTCCTCCTCCTAATAGCTGCCTCCTCTCACCGCACATGGCCCCTGAGGAACCAGGGGAGTACAATGATTTAAAACTCCGCTTTGGGATCCCCTTATCCCGTGGGAGTGCCTCTTACCTGCCCTCTTTCTTGATGTGACAGACGTAGTGGCCGCACATCGTTGAAGTGCCCATGTGGCTGATGAAGGCAAACAGCTGATATTCTTGAAGAGGGAAAGAGGAGTGATCAGTGACAGGGTTAAGGCTCGGTCCCTGGAATAAACTGGATCATGCCCTCTCCAGAGGAGAACTGCTGACGTATGAGACCCTGTCTGACAATTCAGAATTCAGGCTCCTGTTGAGCCTGACTGTGAAGAACTGGTCTCAGAGAGTGCGGGCAGTGGAAGAGGTTAACTCCAGTCCAACCTCACCTCCTCYGACTGCTTACTTGGCTCGTGCATTTTGGTAGTTAATCAGGGATCTCCCTCTTTATGGTCCCTACCAGACAAGCAGCACAGGTATCATTTTTCCAAACAGTCTGAAATTTGGCTTTTCGGTGGCAGCCCGAGACCATAAAAGCCTCCAAAGCTAACCGCCTGGGAGAAGGAAGCACAGACCCACCCCATCTTTCACTTGATGACACGTGTTCTGCCTCTCAGGAGAGCTTATCTGCTTCCAAGTAGGTCTTTTCCTGAAGGCTCTAGGCCCTACATCACCATCCCTCTCCTTTTCCTCCCTGCTCCCACCATTTCAGCAAGCAAATCACCTACTGCTGGAAGCTACAGGACTGGATGGGTTAGGAAGAGTAAAGCCATGCTGAGTGTGCACCCAAACCTCCTCCATGCTCCTACTGCTCAGAACTCACTTCCAGGCCCATCTCGCACTTTAGGACCCACAGGGACAGACTCAGAGATGGACTCAGCCGCTGAGCGCCCCTCTGAAATATCCATAGCAGCTTCTGCATCAAGGTCATCAATATGACTGAAGATCCAATCCACAGCACGCTCCAGACTGTTGTTCTGGAAAGAAGAGCAGAATACTGTGAATATGGGAATGCCTGGTCCTCAGAATACCACTTGGGCTGGCTGTACCCAGGCCTCTCACCGTGGCTCTCAGTGCTTTCATAGCCTGGTCCCGAGAGAAGCCCATGGAGACAATGGTGGCCACGCTGTCCTCCGAAGGAGGGTCTGGGCAGGCAATAGTTGACCCTGGTCCACTGGATCCAGGGAGAACGAGAGGGTTAGCGAAGTCTGCAATGGGAAACACAGCACAGCTCAGAACCTCTCTGCCTCTCCGGCCGGGACACATGCCGAGGCTCAAACGACTTCAGCTTCCCCTCGTGCCCAGGCACAGGGCAGCCCGGTGCGCGAGATGCAGCAAGCTTTGTCACAGCAACGGCAGCTCCTACCTGGATCATCCATATGCGACATGACCCAGTTCATGGCAGCCTCCACCCCACTGTTCCCTGTGTAATACACAGCTTTGCGGCAGGCATCCATGGGAAAGCCCATCTCCACCAGCTGGATAATCACTGACTCATCCAACATGGGAGCTGTGGAAAGACAGAGATTAGAGCCACCCGCTCCCACCCCGTTCTGCCCGCTCCATGTTGTGCAGTCTCATAAACAACAGATAAATAAACCAGCAGTGCTTCATCTCCCAGATGACAAGACTTCTGTCTTTTCTCCCTGCTCCATCTTTATATTCTTTCCTCCTCTTCTTAAATGCATAGTCACACACAGGTCCCCCAGGGGACAACAGGATTCAGCTCATGGATTGGGAAGCACTGGCTCTCCTCTACCCTCCTAACTCCACCTCCTGCTGTTCTTATGGAAACAGAGCACGTAGCCAGCTCAGCCCGTGCAAACCCCAGCCCTGCCCCTGTAACTGAACTGGACGCGCCACCTTCCCCCCCTCACCCAGAACGAGCTTCAACTCACGCCCCTGCCYAGCACCCTTGGGTGACAGGCACGCGAGGGAGGCAGCAGCCGGCGCTCGCCGAGAGAGGGACAGGAAAAGGCCRAGTAAGAGGGAACTGCTAGTGCGGGAGGCCAGACAAGGAGAGCAAGGGAGAGAGTCARGCATCAGGAAAAGAGGAGGAGAATCACTAACATGTTGGAGAGGAGAAGTGAGGGGAGCAGAAGGAGTCGTCGTCCTCGTTGCCATAGAACCCCAGGCTACCTTTGGGCTCGTCTGGAGTCACCAGCG